GAAATATATTTATGTTTGTGGTTGTAATGTGACAAAATATGGAAAAGTTCAAGGGGTATGAATACTTTTGCAAACCACTGTATAATTGGACACTGACACAGATTTTGTCTTTTTACCTGTTTACTGAAACATATTCAAGTTATAGTTATATAATGTACATGGACATAAAGTGCAGACATTCAGCTTTCATTTGAGGGTATCCACATTAAATTGGATGAAGGGTTTAGGAGTTTCAGCTCCTTAATGTACCACCCTGTTTTTAAAGGGACCAAAAGTAATTGGACAATTGACTCCAAGGCTATTTCATGGACAGGTGTGGGCAATCCCTTCATGTCTTTCTCAATTGAGCAGATAAAAGGCCTGGAGTTGATCTGAGGTGTGGTGCTTGCATTTGGAAGGTTTTGCTGTGACGTAAACATGCAGTCAAAGGAGCTCTTCATGCAGGTGAAACAAGCCATCCTTAAGCTGCAAAACCAGAAAAAAATCCATCTAAGAAATTGCTACAATATTAGGTGTGGCAAATCTACAGTTTGGTACATCCTGAGAAAGAAAGAAACACTGGTGAACTCATCAATGCAAAAAGACCTGGGCGCCCACAGAAGACAACAGTGGTGGATGATGGCAGAATAATCTCCATGGTGAGGAGAAACCCCTTCACAACAGCCAACCAAGTGAACAACACTTTCCAGGAGGTAGAAGAATCAATATCCAAAGCTATCATAAAGACGAGACTGCATGAAAATAAATACAGAGGGTTCACTGCACGCTGCAAGACACTAATAAGCCTCAAGAATAAAAAGGCTAGACTGGACTTCGCTAAAAAAACATGTAAAAAAGCAGCAAARTTCTGGAAGAACATTCTTTGGACAGATGAAACCAAAGTCAACCTCTACCAGAATGATGGAAAGAGAAAAGTCTGGTGAAGGCGTGGTACAGCTCATGATCCAAAGCACCACATCATCTGTAAAACACAGCAGAGCAGTGTGATGGCTTGGGCATGCATGGCTGCCAGTGGCACTGGGTCACCAGTGTTTATTGATGATATGACACAGGACAGAAGCAGCTGAATGAATTCTGAGGTATTCAGAGCCAGACTGTGTGCTCAGAACCAGCCAAATGCAGCCAAACTGATTGGTCTGTTTCATACTACAGATGGACAATGAGCCAAAACATAAAGCCAAAGC